ACAAAATCATATAAATAAAATAATTATAATCACAGTACAGAACAGAACAGAAGGTCAATGGATCCATGACAAATAGAGGGTCACAAGGTGACTAATCAGAGGGCCAAAGGTTATTTAAGTTCGTCAAGGCATGAGACTGTCAGAGGGTCACTAAAGTGATAATTCAGAGGGCCAATGATTATTTAAGTCCCTAAGGCATGGGACCTTCATGGTGGTACTTATTCAAAACAAATATTTATAAAATCAGTGTCAAATATTTTCTAAAATTTAAACAAACATATCATTGGGTTTCAATTTAAGCAAATAGAGTTCAGAAAATAATCCACGTAATTGAAACATTAACATAACCATAAAATATAAATTATATAAAATAAATTTATGGTAACTCAAAACATTCTCAAAATATATTATGGTAACTCAAGACATATATAAAACATATTATGGTAACTCAAGGTATAATATAACTCACTTAAATAGTAATTCCTTTAAGTGTCCATTTCTGCATAGGTCATGCCCAAACTTTTAGGGGCGAGTTTGGGGCGTGACAGAGAGTGCGTGTTTTAGAGAGAAAGGGTCAAGACCTAGGTTTTTAGAAAGTTTTAGAGAGAGAAAAGAATGAAAAAGTGATATAAAATGTCACTTTCGCGATCTGATATATGCACAGTCCGCTCGAGCAGAAGAGTTGACGCTCGAGCGTCAAACACAAAAAATTGTTCTGCTCGAGCGCAGAATACACCTCCAGTACTTTTGCAGGCAACAGACAAACCGCTCGAGCACCAACCCACTCGAGTGTAGGAAATGCCGCTCAAGCATGAAAAACACCCCTCCAGTGTCTTTGCAGACGTTCAAAGTACTGAGAGTTTGCAAACCCCGCTCGAGCAGAGGACCAAAATTCTGGGCAGCATAAGGTTTAAAAAAATAAGCAACTAACCTACCCATACACAAAAACAACAACCCCAAAGCCAATTTCAAAGAGATACAAGGGAAAAAAGAGGTAAACAATAATATGAAAGCACTAAACCCGAGTACAGAACACCATAAGAGTCGGGTCAAAATCAGAATCGCTATAATTTTTTTATTTGTATGTCAATGCGGTACTTAAATCAAACAAAAAACCAGATGAACATTCTTCCGCTGCACTTTATATATTGATTTTTATTTTTAAACTCATATACCTAGCCTACTATACGTAGGATGTAAAAAAAAATTAAAAAATCAACAAAATCAATTAAATTGGATCGAATCAATCATATTTGGTTTTTTTTTTTTTTACAATAATTGGTCTGTGTGATTTTTTAATTTATTTTTTTTTTCAATTTTTAGTTTGGTATCGGTTTAAGCACCTTGTGTACTAAACTAAATCGAAACCGACTACTTCAATATATATTGTATATATAATTTATATAATCTAATAATATAATGAAATTAATAAGTATAATAAATTTCTATATTAATAAGTATAATTTATCTTTCCAACTCAGCGCCGTCGTTTTATTCTATGTGGGCCCGAGGTCGTTTTACACATTAGACCCGAGGTCGTTTTGTATGTTTGGGTCAGAGACCGTTTTGTATAATTGGACCCAAGGTCGTTTCGTAATATGTTGGACCCAACACCGATTGTCAAATTTGAATATGAAGAAAACTATGGGTCGTTTTTACTTTCGAAAACATATTGTTTATGTTAAATATGTTCGATGGTTCAAACTCATATATTAGCCCTTTGCACTGTTATTACTCATTAAGTTTCACTCACTCCCTTTTTTATATGTATGTAGGTGATCAACAGGGAGGTTAACCTTAGAGTCAGCCTCAAGAATTGTCTATATGGACTTGTTATACCAAGCCTCTAAGATGGAACTTTTTGTCTTTTTGATGTTATATTTTATGTCAAGTTTTCTGTTTGGTTTTTGTAAAATGGGTTTGTGAATATGTAAACTTAATGTTAATGACTTCTATGTATATAAGTTCTGTTTGAAAGTCATGGTATGTGTATGAGAGTTATCCTGATCATATAAGCACTGCTTAATGGATATTATACATAATATTTGCTTCCGCTTAAGACCCCATTATTAAAAACATTTGTTTTCTATATAAGGCTGTAGGTAATCATGTGATTACTGGCCAATTATGAACCAAACTTTTAGGGGGCGGGTTTAGGTCATGACACTAAGAGTGTAGTACATTTTAAAAGCGTAAAGGAGGTCATCAGATCTCGATGATCTCGAGATCTTCGAACACGTATCTCTCTCTCTTCCATTACCGAAGGTTAGTTGTAGATCAACCATCATAGATCAGCTTCATCAAGTCCATTGCGCCATAGTTCTATGCATTCCGCGAGAGAGAGTTAGGGTTATAGATCTTGATCTTGGTTTAGAGGATTAAGGTGATTAGTAACTCGATTGAAAGGGTTTGAGTTTGCAATTTCCAATATCTCTCTCTCTCTCTCTTCAATTTTCTTTATCTCTTTTTTCTTGCACTAAGAATCAAACCAACATTTACTCTCCAAACCATTCATAAGCATCTTCACTCATAGCAAGTTTCAGAAAGTGAGAAAGATGAAAGAGAAAGAGAGATATAGAGTAAGTTGTGTCATCGACACAAATTTGATGTGTGTTTATTGTTTGCTGGTCAAACTAAATGATATATTATTTTTTTGAAGTTATTAATCTCAGAAACTAGATTTTGAAGTTTGAACAAACAATTCTTGCATACATCTCGAAAATAGAAGATCATCTGCATCGGGTATATGGATCATGTGTCGCATTTTAGACATTTTTTGAGCATCAAGATCAACACATCTAAGAGCAACCAACCGAATGTGTTTCAGTACTTTTGAAGATGGCTCTCAAGCAACTTTAGATCTACAACTTCCTCAGATTTTTGATTTCCAACCATGGTTTTCAACCAATCAACTAGTTCATCTCTTAATTTGTTTAATTTAGATGGATAGATGATTCAATTTGTTTTTTTCTTGTTGTTGTTGTTTATTGCAACACATAATTTTTTTTTTTTGGTAGAGTTTTTTTTTTTTTTTTGTAGAGATAAATTTGTTTTGTTCATTGTTGTTGAATTTGAATAGAAAACAAAATTGAATAGATAGGTGTAAAGACAGAGAGAGAGAAACAGACAGAGAGAAAAAGAGAGGCATAGAGAAACAAATACAGAGAAAGTTTGAAAATTGTGTGAATTTGAACAGATAGAAAAAATAGCTTATAAAAATTCAACAAATAGACAAAAAAATTTGAATAGATAGACCAAAAATTTAAATAGATAATCAAAAAAAAAATTAAACGATAAAATTAGAAACAAAATGTCATTCTAGAATAATAAACGAATTTTTCATCAAATTATTTCATAAAAGGTGAATTTCTTACCAATAAAAAAAAATATTCACTGAACCTAATTCTTTATACAATCTTTTAACTTGTACGTTTTAACAATTTTCAATATAAATTTTATGGGATAAGTAATAAACACCTCCTCTGAGGTTTACTTAAATTATCAATTACCCTATGTGGTTATAAAATTACATTATACCCATAAGGTTTCTAATTTCATAACAAATAGGTTCTTTTATCAATAAATCATCAAGTTAATTAACAGTTTTTAATAATGTTAAAATTTTATTTCAATTAATAATTCAGATAATTTTATTATTGTACAGGTGAACAGTTAGAAATTTCACTTTTTTAATTAATTCTGTTAAATAAAAATTTTTGATAGGAAAGCATTTGTAATTTTCCAAATCATAGGCAACAATTTATATTTTAAGCAAATTTCATGGGTGTATTTGTAATTTACCCAATTTATGGGTAAAATGAAATTTGAAATTGTGTTTTTCTTCAAGGTCCCTTGAATAGAATACAGGGTCACTCTCAACACAGCATTCGGTGGGGAGCCTCTATTTGCACACACCAATTCCACTCTTTGCACACACTTAATGAATTTTATTTTTATTACAATTTTATCCCTAAATAAAATTACCATTATAGACATCTCACACAATTCAAATAAACACGCATCCTCTCAATACACACACACGTTGCAATGCCTCTGCTTCCTCATTTTGCTAAATGATCCACACACACACACACGTTACTCCATACCAGAGCTCCAAAGTTACTCCATTCTTCATTAGTGTACACTCCTTGCACAAGCTCCACACTCCTTCCACAAGCTGTCTTCCTCATTCTTCCTTCCTCATTCTTCATTCCATTTTTCATTAGTTTACACACTTAATCTCATCCTCACTCATTGTTATGGAAGATTTACCTTATGAAAATTCAGATTTTGAGAAGCAGCTAACTGTTTATGAGAAAGGTAACCACGGAAAGGTGAGTTTTGCTCCATTTTTTTTCCTAGCGTCGTTCGGAAAACCAGGGTCGAACTAGTTAACATATTTCGGAAGTTGTATGCCGAATGAACTTCAAAATTTCGGCAGTTGACTGTTCGGAAGTTGTATGCCGAATGAACTTCAAAATTTCGGCAGTTGACTGTCGATTTATTGGCCATATTTCGAAGCTTGATTTCCGGCAAAAACAATACATTTCGAAAAACCAATTCCGAATGAAGTACAAAATCATCCATGACAGTGGGCTATTTCTTCGATCGGAAAATGGTTCAAACAAACCCCAAAGTACAAATGACATACAAATAAGGATTTTAAGATCAATAAACTAACCTAAATCTCCAAATGTGAGGGACAGTAATGGACAGAGAGTTTTCTTCACTGCTCTTCAATGGCACTTCTTCAATGTGGAGGTCTTCAATGGAGGTGGGGGACGGACGATACACATTGTGAGAGTGAGAGATGGGTGTGTGTGAGAGAGAGACGGAATGGGGAGCCGCTGCAATGTCTGTGTGTGTGCACAATGTGTGTGTGTGTGCACAATTTGGCTTTGAGGGTATATTAGGAAAATAGGTGTGTGCAGTGAGTAAAACAAATTAAGTTTAATTTTTTTATGTGTGTGTACTGAGAATGATGTGCATAGAGAGAGTTATGTGTGTGTAAATAGAAGCTCCCCATTCGGTGGTGTATTGAGGTGGAGTTGTGAACTTGTGCGAAAGAAAGAAACCCGGTTGCCGGACAGCATCATCGGCGATGATGATGATGAGGATGAGGAGGAGGAGGAGGCTTCCATTGGCGGCTCTTCGCCAAAGCTGTTCGGGATCCCCTACTTCCCTCAGCTTCCGTTTCATATCCTCCTCTCATTCCTCCACCACCACCAAAACTGTCCCCCTTCTCTGGACCACCACCGCCGCCGCCGCCGCCACCACCGACCCCAACGACGCAGTCACAGTCCAACTTCTCTCATGGGGCCGTGGTTCCTCCGGCCAACTCGGCGGCGGCATCGAAGAACTCCGCCTCTACCCTACCCCTGTCGCCTCCCTCCTCCTCCCTCCCTCTTTCCGCCTTTCCCTCCCCATCCCCGGCCGCCTATCTCCTCCCCTAAACCACCACCAAAACCCTAATTCTTCTGATCCAGTTGATGTCTCCATTTCTTGCGGCCTTTTCCATTCCGCATTGTTAGTCAATCGCAAGCTCTGGATTTGGGGCAAAGGCGATGGCGGCCGCCTCGGACTCGGCCACGAGAACCCATCTTTCGTCCCCACTCTAAACCCTAATTTAGATTCCCTCCAAAGCATTGCCCTTGGCGGCCTTCATTCCGTCGCTCTCAACTCTCTTGGCCAAGTCTTCACTTGGGGTTATGGTGGTTTTGGAGCTTTAGGGCACTCTGTTTATCATAGAGAATTGTTACCCAGATTGGTAAATGGTTCTTGGGATGGAAAAATTAGTCACATTGCAACTAGTGGGACACATACAGCTGCAATCACTGAGTCTGGTGAGCTTTATACATGGGGTAGAGATGAAGGAGATGGTAGACTTGGACTCGGTCCTAGTCGTGGCCCCGATCAGGCTGGTGGTTTAAGCATTCCTTCTAAAGTAGCAGCATTGCCTGTACCTGTGGCTGCTGTTTCCTGTGGTGGGTTTTTTACCGTGGCTCTCACGGAGGAGGGACAGATTTGGAATTGGGGTGGTAAGGATTTTAACTTTCTTTACTCACGGTAGAGTTGTCGATATCATTGAAGTGGGTTCTATTTCAAATACCGAGTTGAATGACTAGTTACTACATGATTTATGTGAATGCAAGTAAGAAAAGTTAGTAAAATTTGTTAGTTTGGATAGTATTTTCCAATGGTTAATCTCATGCTTTAACTTGGCTTCATGGACTGGAATTGCTAAATTTTATTTCGCCTGCATTGAATACATGCAATAGAAATTATGAGAGATGTTGGGATATTGCTTATTAAAAAAAAAAAAAAAAAGGCAGTATTTTTAGTAAAATGAAGTCAAAAATTTGAAATTCCAAGGTTGGGTATATAAAATGACATGTTACATTACATGGGCTCTTTAAAATAAATCAAACACTCATGTCGGACATCTAATACTTGGACAAGAGTGTGTGATATGTATCCATATTTTTTCTATTGGACATTTCTTATATATTTGCATGTAACATTATATGTATTTGTTGTTGTATAATTGCTACAAAAATGAGTGAAATACATTTTTGACACTGTATGTTACATATAACACAATTTTATTTCACATAATACGTTAAAATATTACATATAACCCTTTTTTTGCCCAGTCCACGTATCCTTTAATTTGAAGTTTGATGGGTCTGACCTGTAGATATGCAACTGCACCTGAAAGTCGTACCTGAGTCCATGTAAAATAGATAAAATGATAGTATTTCTAATGTATATTTGAAGGAGCATAATAAAGTTGGTTATTGTTTTAATAAATAAAATTAAAAAAAGAAGATACAATCACGTTTCAATCGAAGATTAAATTTACTATTTCAGTGGTGTTAGAATTGATAAAGACATATTTCCTCCTGATGAACTATGATTCATAATACCTTTTCGATTTGAGGAGTTGATATTACTAGAAATTGTGTCATGATCTGATTTTTTGACATTAATCTTGATGGAGTATTTGCTGTTCTCCCATTTTTTCCTTGTTGGCTGTGTGAAGATCATGGCATCTTATTAATACCTGGATGTCTTTGAACAGCAAACTCCAATTATGAGCTTGGAAGAGGTGATAAGTTTGGTGGGTGGAAACCAAAACCGATTCCTAGCCTTGAAGATACTCATATCATTCAGATAGCAACTGGTGGATATCACTCTCTTGCTTTGACTGATGAAGGTAAAGTCCTTTCGTGGGGTCATGGTGGGCATGGTCAGTTGGGTCATTATTCTATTGAAAACCAGAAAATTCCTGTACTTGTTGAGGCTTTAGCTGATGAAAGGGTTATCTATATTGCTTGTGGAGGTTCATCATCGGCAGCTGTAACTGATAAAGGGAAGTTGTACATGTGGGGAAATGCTAAGGATTCACAATTAGGTCTACCTGGGCTGCCAGAGGTACAACCATTTCCAGTTGAAGTTCTGTTTCTAATGGATGATGATGGTCTCGGGATTCATAACGTACTCTGTGTTGCGGTTGGTGCTTCTCATGCAATGTGCTTGGTTTCAAGGTTAGGTTGCCAAGGAATGTAGTAGGTTTGTGGATCTGGTCTCATATGTAACGAGACAAGGAACAAATGAGATTTTCCAGAAACAGCTCAAATAGAGTGAAGTAAAATAGTCAATCTGGAATGTTTTTTGCAATAGAGAATTTGACTTCAAAATATAGGAGAACAAAGCAGATTCTTAGGTGTGACAGATTGCTGGCTTTACATCTTCCATGACATAGTGCATTGTGGAATGTCTTACTGATCTTTGTCTCTCTGTGGCTGACTCAAGTTGCGCAGCTGCAGGTCCGACTTTGTTGAGCTGCTACAACCTACAACTGTGGCTGGCTAAATGGATCAGGACATTTGGCTAAATGGATCGGGACATTTGGTCAAATGGATTGCGTTGGATGATAGCAGTTCCAGATGTTGTAAACTACATGCAAGTTCTGTTTATCTCTCAAGTAAAGCCCTCAAAAATTGCATCTCATTCCTTTGTCTTGTAACAGTGAAAGCATTTGGTTATTCAATGTTAAAAAGAAAATAGTAAAAACTAACAAGGATGTTAATGTTCTCATGGAAATGCAATTTTAAGAAACCTGGATTGCGATCAAGAGGTTCTGCATATGTTTCTTTAATTTTGTCTTTTTGTTACGCAGGATGTTGTTTGTTTAATTTGTTGGGTAGACAATTATTGAGCTATTAATTTTGATGAATATAGTTTCAACTAGCTAATTTTGGGATTGCAATTTTCAACCCTCGTTAATTTTCCTTTCAACTTGTGGAAAACCTCTAATTTAAGTTCGAGGCACACAGAGACAAAATCATTTGTGATACTATTACTGCCTGTATTTATTGATTTGAGAGCCCAAGAAAATATTTGTTGTACCAAAACCCGTTCTTTCTTCGGGGGAATACTTCATTTGAGTCGATTATTGCAGAAATTCATTGTTGAGATTTTTGAATTATTTACACCAGACCAGCCAACTACCAATCCCTTTTCCCATGAGATATGGACCCAAGTACTGAGGCCAATGTTGATCCATTCTCAATTGAACTTTCGATGTTCGTTGCTCAGACAATTGCTTTCAGATTCTTATTTTGCAAGTCAATATCACATTCGAGGCATCAAATCTTTCATTTGTTGTTATATTACTTCTATAGAATTAAGGATTATTTGAAGAGCTATTTGACGCCCGTGATCTCATGGCTTCATCCTTGAAGCCCACAATGGATACTAGTATTGGTGAAACAGACTTGTAGCTTTCTTGTTGAAATGTCAAACTAATATGAAACTGAGGGCTGAGATGGCATATCAAATGAAATTTTGGAGGAATATGATGAGAACCGCCTTAACCTTCTAGGAATGGGCTCATGCTGCTAAGAGACCCCCAAAATGAATGAATCAGACCTTTATGATGGAGAATTGGTCAGTGATAAGCTCCAAGATTCTTGGCTCTCTCTGAGAGATTATATTTTGTATGCTAGCTGATCTTGTCAGAAATCTCAGTAATATGTGCAACCCTGAGCTTCACAAGGGCAGCTTCAAGTGGCCAACCTTGTAGAGCATATCGATGAGGTTTCTACATTGAACTCAGTTTGAGAATGGTTTGTGATTCCAATTTGGAGGAGCTTCTCTTGGAGGAGAAGCTTGCTTTTATGCATCAAACAATACATGACTTTGGGAGAACAACTTTGCTTTTATGAAGGGGGTGCTTCGCTTGGAGCTTTCCATATGGGTGTTGTGAAAACCTTGGTAGAGCATACGCTTTTGCCTGGACAATTGCAATGTTTTGTTGTAGCCACTAGGTCTTTGCCCAAGCTAAAAAGTTTCTTTGAGGATTCTTGTCACTCTTTGCAATTTTTGACCAGATGGGTGAGATTTTTGTAGTTTTTAAGAGGGTTATGTCTCAAGGAGCAATTCATGAGGTCAGACTGTTACAGATGATGCTAAGGCATCTCACTAATAATCTTACATTCCAGGAAGCTTGTGACTTGACTGAACAAAGCTCCCCAAGGAAGCATGAGCCTCCCAGATGCCTTAATTATTTAACTTCACCTCATGTGGTCTTATGGAGTGCAGTGGCTGCTTTATGTGCCTTTGCTGGTTTGTTTGAAGCTCAAGAATTAATGGTAAAGGATAGTTGTGAAGAAATTGTTTTATATCGCCCGCCATTTCATTTGGATCCTGATAAGGCTTCTGGCTCATCTGTGGTCGTGGAGTGCTGGCAGCCTGGAGATTGATTTACCCATGGAGGTAACTTTTCTACTAAGGTGCGTGCTAGTGGATATGAGTTATTGATTTCTTTTATGATTTATATTCATATTGCTTAACTTTTGTTCTGGCATTTGTAAATGTTGTATCTATACAGTCATATTTCGCTTCTCTATTTTGTATATATTGTGCTATGTTATATTTTAGGTGTTTGATTCATCTAGTTTCATGTGCAAGAGCACAAGCAGATAAAATATTTATATTTCTTAGTAGTACCTTTTGTTTCTAGGATGCAATGGTGCTCATAAGGTGCCATAGTTTCGTGCATAATATGGGACTTTTATGCGTAGGTTCACGGTAGACCCAATTTGTTTACGATTGCTAGGTGAATGTCCAACTGCACGAACATATCCCATGCCTTTATCCAAGTGTCGAGTATCAAACACGTCATTCATACATTTAGAAGAGTCCATCTAACATACATATTGAGAATAGAGAATGAAAAGAAATAAAAGGCGAGTATGGAGGGTAGTAGATTGTATTTTTGTTCACTTATTGTCAAATAGTACATAACTTTAAATCTCACTAGGATGTGCCATCAATGCAGCTCAAAAAGGATTTCTATAATGATTAAACTATATGGCCGAGTTATTACCTTTAGAAATCTAGCTCCTAGACAAGTTGAAGACATATAGGTCCTAAATTCTTATTATTCATTGCTGTAGCCCTAGTAAACCTACCTTTTGAAACAAATGTCGAGCCACTTCTTCGTTGACTTGAAAGAAAATTGCTTTGGTGGTAAATCATTTGTCATGATTTGGACTCTTCTCCCGGGTGCTGACCCTCCAGCTGCTAATTTGAGTCAAGAGCCTCTCCTTGCAAGCTTGTGCTTGCGTCCGTCCTTGCAGGCCTTCGGGTCTACTTTTAGATCCAATTTTGATAATCCGAACCGTTTATATTTTATGATTTATTCAGTATATCATACCTGTAAAAAATCAAGTTGATCGGATATCAGAAAGTATGTGTTTGAAAAATTGAACTAAACACTATTTTTTAAAGAATTTAATAAACAGTTTTCCGAACATATGCTTTCTGATATCCGATCAACTTGATTTTTTACAGGTATGATATACTGAATAAATCATAAAATATGAACGGTTCGGATTATCAAAATTGGACCTAAAAATAGACCCGAAGGCCTGCAAGGACGGGCGCAAGGACGGGCGCAAGCACGGAAACTGCAAGGAGAGGATCCTCACTCGCTAAATTTAGGCCTACGAAATTGACAATGATTACATAGGCTAATTGATTGGATGTTTATCCTACGTCATCTTCTTGATGTGCTTTGCTTTGACGTCAGTCTGTCAAGCTTTTCATTTTCTTATTCTATTATGATCGGTGATTTCGAATTGTGACGCATATCGTGTATCGTTTTCTCTCTTTTATTTTAATGTATCACATATAATAAGTTTGAGGTTATGGGCTCAAGTCAAGGAGTAACTACCTTGTGCCCTATGCCAAAGGTTAGGTGTGTATCCAATTTTACTCCTCCCAAATACACATTAATATGTACTAATTGGGTGTTGTTTTTATATTATATAGTATCATAAGATACATTAACATATATGAATACTAGGGTATGCCCGTGCCTGAAGGCACGGTGAAAATATTATTGGAATGAAATTGTAATTGGAATGATTTTATGATTTTAAGCAAATAATAAAATGTAAGTCCCACAACACAAACATATAATAAAAATCAAATGAAATACGTCAGTCAGTGCTCTGCAATAGAAAAAAATAAACTATAAATTAAGCGCACCAGTCAACGCTCAGCAATATAAAGAAAATGTCAAATAATAAATTAAGTACATCAAATAATATTCTATAATACAAAAAAAAGACAAATAACAAATTAAGCATGCCAATCAATGCTCTATAATAGAAAAAAAAAATAACAAATAAAAAAATGACAAATTAAGCACACCAATCGTACGTTGCAATTCAAAAAAATATATATATATAAAAAATTGTGTAATAAACAATTATTTTAAAAGATTAATACGTACACAATCCAATGCTATATTAAAAGCAACACCCTTCCTGATAAAAATATATATGGAAGCAAAAAATCAAATTCAACCGAAAAAAAATATGAAGTTTTCTTTAAGCTAATTCAAGAGCATATTAGGAAGGAAAAAGAAAAAAGAAAAAAAGACTATAGCACCAAGTGAATAATTCAAATGAATATTATATAACATACATCTAAATCGATATGAAAGGCTTTACAAAACTAAAATTTACATCGATATAAAACTTTACAAAATCTAGATCGTAGCTAGCAAATGTACGATTTTCACAAAAATAAATATGATTTTCAAACTTGTTCTTTCTTAGAATTCCTAAGAGCGCCTCATCACTTTCAAAAAGTATTTGTTTCAACTTCTATATATCCCCAATGAGAAACATGCACGACAATCTAGTAATTTATGAAAATAAAAAAGTTAGTTTATTAGTAGAAGAAAATCTATATAAATATCAAAACACTTTTAAATTGAAATTATCTTGTTACATCCCCATCAAAGCAATCTAATTGTATTTATCTTTTTGAGGTCCATATATTTTTTAACCCAATCCTACAAAAGTCAACATATATAGCAAAAAAAATTTTAAAATAATAATTTGTAATCAATAGAAGCAAATTTGTCGAATAAATAAAATTGTAACTTTTGAACAAAAGTGATTTGATCCATAAGACACTAACATACAATTTAAAGATAAACAATTGTTTTGTTAGTAGAAATCTAGGTCATTGTTGGGGAAGGAAGGACACTTGTAGATCAAAGATGGCGCATCTAGATGGGCCCACGTACAGTTTTCATGGACTAAACCACTGGTGGCGCAAAAAAATATATGTATTTAGAAAGCTTAAAAATACAGCATTTAAAAAACATTCTAATATAATTAAATTGGGCCTACCTTCTCGACCGGATGACATTTTTAAGGTTCCTATGCTCAACTTTTACCGCGCGAAAGGGTGTCGAGCATTGACACGTCTAAGCAGCTGATTTTTTTTCTTTTTCTTCTCTCCGGAAAGAACTGATATAGTCCTCAGGAACTCATCCTGGACTAGAGGAATCATACAACCAAAGAGAAATTCATGAGGGTGATATGGAGAAAAAATTTTCCACCAGTTAAGATGAGAGGTTAAATGTATGCATGTATAGAAAATCAGAGATAAAAGGAGTCGATAATCAGTCTAAAGGTCTCCATCCATCTGTAAAATATAAGAAAAGAGCATTTTTGTTATAAGGAAATAGTATAAAAAAAAATAATGAAAAAGAAAAGAAATTGGACTTAGAACTATAAGAAAGGTGATTTTTTTTTTTTTTGCAAATTT